ATGTATGTTTGTGTGTATGTGTGTATGTGTGTATGTGTGTATGTTTGATGTTCGTGTGTGGGTGTGTGTGTTGTATGTATGTATGTTATGTATTATGTATGTATGTATGTATGTTGTTTGTATGTATGTATGTATGATGTATGTAATGTATTGTGTGTGGTTGTGTGTTTTGTGTGTGTGTGTTGTGTGTATGTGTGTAGGTGTGTTTATTTGTGTGTATGTGGTGTTATGTGTGTATGTTTGTGTATGGTTGGTTGTGTGTAATGTGTGTATGTGTGTGTATTTGTGTTATGTGTGTGTATTGTGTGTGTAGTGTGTGTATTTTTCGTATTGTGTATGTTTGTGTGTATGTGTGTATGTGGTGTATTTGTTGTATGTCGTTTATGTGTGTGTATGGGTGTGTGGTGGTGTATGTGTGTGCATGTGTGTGTGTGTGTGGTGTTTGTCTGTTTGTGTGTGTATTTGTCTGTAAGATATGTGGATGGTGTATATTATGTATGTTGTGTGGTTGTGGTGTGTTGTGTGGGATATGTATTATGTGTGGTGTGTGTGGGATGTGTGTTTGATGTGTGTTGTGTGTGTGTATTTGTGTGTGTGGATGTGTGTATGTGTGGTGTGTATGTGTGTGCTGTGTGTGTGGTTGTGTGTGTATGTGTGTATGTGTGTGTAATGGATGTGTGTATGTGTATGTATGTATGTGTGATATGGTGTATGTGTAGTGTGTGTATGTATGTGTGTGTGTGTATGTGTGTATGTCCTGTTGCATGTGTGTGTGTGTGTGTGTGTATTGTATGTCGTGTCGTGTGTGTGTATGGTGGTGTCTGTGTGCATGCATGTATGTGTGTGTGCATGTGTGCATGTATGTGCATGCATGTATGTGTGGGTATGTATGTATGTGCAGGTGTGTATGGTGTATGTATGTATGTGGTGTGTCTGTGGTGTGTATGTATGTATGTGTGTGTGTGTGTGTGTATGTATGTGAGTGTGTGTGTGTATGTGTTGTGTGTTTTGTTTTTGTGTGTATGTATGTAAGTGCTTGCTATGTGCTGTATGTATGTGTATGTTGTGTGTATTTGTGTATGTGGTGTGTGTCTTTTAGTGTGTATGAATGTGTATACCTGATGTGTGTATGCATTATTCTATAATGTATACTTTTTTCTTAATATAAACATAACATTCATTATTGATAAAATGCAATTGTACTCTTAAAGATGAAGGACCGAATCCAGCGTGCCCAATTTGTAACCCTATGATAGAAAAGTTTGTTCGTTTGTTCGTTTTTTTTTTTTCTTAGCGATCAGAGTCTTTCTTCCAATATGGGTCATAAACTGGACGAAGGGATGGATGACTTCACCAATGCCTCATAGTTTATCCTGTAGGGGCGCTTCTGTGGGTCAGATTTTTGCTGTATGTTTGGCACAGTTTAGGCAATGGATGTCCACTAAATATGCCCATGCAACACATCACAGTAAAACATGTCTTATGATCATATTATTCGAGCAATCATTCTTTAGTGATAAAAATATTTCACCTCCATCAAACGTCTTCAGACTTCGGGCTAAGCTATGCAACATATAAAAAACACTTCAAACAGGGTCATAATAGAGAAGCGATACACACTACATAACATTTAACCCTACTAGAGGAGAAATACTGATATCTTGAAAGATTTGAACATCAAGGAAGATTGGCTAATAAACAGCATCCTGTCTCAGCGGCTGAAATATTTTAGTCATATCAATGGCCACGAGGGATTGGAAAGAATTAAAGCAGAAGGCATAGTACCAGGAAGGAGGGACAGGGGCCGAAATACACGAAGATGGGCACAGGATATAAGTGACTCCTTGAGTATGAAAGTAAATAAGGCCGAGTTTCTTTCAGACAGACTGTGATGAGAGCGACGTTCTGCAAAGGATCTGCTACATGATGATGATAATGACTTGCTTCGATCGCAGTTTACTTGCGCAATAATTGTTGCGGTGCTTTCCCCCTTTTTTGTTTGGTCAGTAACAACAAGATACACTTGATCCGGCCGTGGAGAGATCTGGCCTGAGTTCCCGCCCTTTCCGAAACAGTTATGCTCTCTGTCTGTCTTCGTTGTTTTCGACAACAATTATTCGATGAATGTCAGCTGGTCGACATTTGTCGAACGAAAAAAAAAAAAAACACGAAATAATCGTTCTTGAAGCAAGGGATGTCTCGAGCATCCAGATTGGCTGGATCTGCACATCTGGGTGGTGAATTGATATATGAAAAGGCAGATGCGGTCAATGTTGTTTGGAAATAAGCAACGAAATCAGTAGAGAAACAAGATTATTATGGCCTGGAGAGAATGAGGAACCTGGGTGTAACCAGAGGGTCTGGCCGGCTAACTACACTCACAGGAAATGCAAAACGGACATATAACCAAATTTTGACCGGTACCATCTGCATTTCAACTTTGCGCTGGCTGCTGAAGATATGGACGGAGCTCGCATGGAAATGCCCCGAGTGCTGTGATGCAAATTCTTGACTCAACTGAACTCAACTCAATTAGGAGACGTGCGGCACGAACGGATTACATATGGACGCTTCTTATAGCTGAGAATGGAGGTGAATGCATCTCTGCAGTCTTCCGCTGGCTTTTGGACCAGATGCACACGCATGAAGGGATTGTAACAGACTCACAAAGTAGTTTAAGAAAGGTTGGGTGCAGATTACCAAACATTTCTTCATAGATCACGGGTAGATAGAGTCCTTTATTTATTTTCTTCCGGGAAGTAAGGTTTGTTGGGAAACGAACACGCAGATAGATTAGCTAGATCTGACCACATAGTGGTAAAGTTATGCTGGGCCAGTTAGAATTTGTAAAGTCCCGTTGGAATTGGGTGTACAATGTGGAGGCAATACTAGCTTATCACAATCTCAGAAGAATGGTGCAGCGAGAAGTGACAAGGGGATCTGGCTGAAGCTCAAAACATAGGGTAAAGGCGATAAGAATATACATTCAAACTGTTAATGGCACCTTATAATTGGAACTCTGCGCTGACTGTTAAAATGAGGGAGTAGCGTTTCGTATAGAAGTGTTCCGAGTGCTATGATGTCATGTCCTAATTCATCCCAACTCAGTTTTAACCAGGTGCCTAGGTCATACATCGGCGTCTGTCTTTAGGCTTTGTCCTTGCGCTTTTTATTGCTGGGGCACCGGGTTCGATCCCCTCTGCAGACCATTTGTCTTGCGTTGGTTTCGACAGTGGTACCGAGAATGGCCATTGAATGAGCTATGGCAAAATCTGAATGTAAAAATAAGTTGTCTAGAAAAGCAACAACAGCAACAACAACAACAGCAACAACAAAATGATAGGATTAGTACTGCCACGTCCTGTAAAGGATACGCAGCTAACTGTTAATAAGTTTTAAGGTGTTTTTGTGCTTACTATTTAGAAATAAGACACTCGCCTGGGGATCGGAAGGTCGCGGATTCTAGTTCTTTCAAAAACAACTTTGCTCTCAGCCTTGTACTAGGTAGAGTCATGGAAAGCAAAGGCAGCCCGCGTGATGTTGACCACATCACAGACCGAGTGCCGATTGGTCTAAAAAATACGTCTACCCTTTTATGCCCAATACGCCTGAAAACTATTTCAATGTATAGTGAAAGCCAAAATTGTCGATGTTAACAAAACATACTATTTCAATATATAGTAAAAGCCAAGATGGTCGTTGAAAACCTAACAAAGTATTTCAATATGTAGTAAAAGCCAAGATTGTCAATGTAAACGAAACTATTCCAACATATAGTGAAAGCATAAATGTCGATGTTAACCAAACAAACTATTTTAATGTATAGTCAACGCCAAGACCGTCTATGTTAACCAAACAAAATATTGCAATGTATAGCAGAAGTCAAGTCTCTTTGTGTAAACGAGACAGACTATTTTAATGTATAGTAAAAACGAAGGCTGTCGATGTTAACCAAACAATTCAAACATATTGAAAAAGCCAACACTGTTAACGAAAAAAATATTTTTATTTTTCTCTATTCGCATGTATCAAAAACAATTCCCATTTCAACAACAATTTTGCGATTGATTGTATCACCGAAGCTATGGCGCCGTATCACAGTGTAGATGAAGCGGTTACATCATAGCGTCGTGATAAACTAATTTCCAGTTGATAGTGTTAAGATTAAATCTCTCAAGGAAATTGATGCCCTTTTAATAGTTTCAGGCGATTTTGTAGCGGCTAGTTCTAAACTGTCCACATTTATATTCGGCATCAAGGATGGTTTTTACAGATTAAAAAATGTATCATTATTATCACCATTATAAACCACTTCTGCAATTAAGCGCCATGAGGAGGAATAATTTGCGATCCGATGCACGCTGGCAGCCACTGGCCATTGCCATGCCGTGAAGGCGTAGAGTGTCTTTAATGTCGATCCATGATCTTCAGAGATGTAGTGATTGTGACGGTATTTGATCTTGCTGCACTATAACGAGATGGCCAAACCACTTGATCTACCGTTTCTCGATGAATCTAGTACAAGGTAAAAAAAAAATGTATCCCATTCTAAGCAACAACTCAACATAGCGAGGTGGCTAATTACTGTTTTCGACGCACAATATCTCCATTTAACTCACAAGGTAGCAGGGGAACTGTTTTGGCCCAGTTTATAAGGTTGAGTGGAACCCCACAAAACTACTTGTCAGTGGGTTGGGAATTTCCTCACTGACGCACATAGATCCAGTAAAAATGAGCTAGCATACATAAACATTACCTATCTGTCACAGCTAAACACTGAGTTTCTATGTTGTAATTTTTTTTTTTAAATATTCGGGGTGTTATCTATTCTCTGAGATATTCTTAAAAGTAGGAATGAAAATAAAAAGAAATTGAAAATATCAAAATGTACGCTAAGCTTTACTATCAGGATTAAGGTCATACATTATCTTAGGTGAGTCTGAGAGAGTATATTTAACGAAGCAGGGTATGTTACATTATACTATGCCACCAAGCTCTGTTCAGAATCCTAAAACAGTTCGAAATTTAGTGTTAAATTTGTAGTAAATAATTAAATTTACGGCTGAGTTAACGATCTCAAAATGCATCCGCATGCCGTTGACACAAAGGTACAACCTGGTGTATCCCTTGCCAATAGTGAACTCCGGCTCCAAAGTGGTGACTATGCTGATGAGAATCTTTGGTGTATTGCACACAATGTACACCACAGAAATCAGAACCACCTGCTGGATCACTCTGAGGTCCTTTCCTGTCAGTTTATCTACGCTGTTGTTTGCTTCGGAAAATTCCAAGTCCACTTCGTTCAAATTAGTATTGTGGTTTGTCCCATGTTTTTCGAATCCTTTTTCGGTCATAGCCACGGAAGATTGGCGGAATCTAGAAGCTGCTCGAAGACTCCGAGACATGATGAAAACACAGATAATGATAATAAACTGTGTGGCAAAGGGTAACAACATGTTGTTTATAGTCCATATAATTTCTTTGACCGATTCTCGGACTGGGGACACCCACAATGCTGGTCGAGTTCGGTTGAGCAAAGTTTCGAACTTATGCCTCATGCCCATGTTGGCAAGTATTGGTGAGTAGGTTACGATGGCAAATACAGCAAACCCAACCATAAACATTATAGCTCGTTTTCTGGTAAATGTATTCTTGAACTGCAGTGGTTTAGCTACACACATACACCGTGCCACTGCGAGAAACGTGGTAGTCAACACGTTCGTTTCGTTAATTAGAATCATAACACTACCGGAAAAAATGGAAATGCCGTAAGGATCTATCATAAAACGAGTTAGGGATTTCTGTTCAAAGACAGAAAAAGCTACAGAGATTCCAAGTGACAAGGAACAGACGAGATACGATAGGTCAAAGATGGCTAAAGCTAGAAAAGACACGGTGATGCCGTCAGTGAGTCCCATTGCAACGAACGTCCTGATGTTAATGATATTCGATATGATGCCCAGGACTGAAAGGATAGTCCAGACAATAGCGCACGATTCCATCACGCTAATGTATTGTGCGTTACTGACCAGACTGATAACTATGGTTACATGTTTTGTTATGTTTCCTATTCCCATCATTGTTACCGGGTAAGCAGTTACAATGTATTATGTTGTATCATTCAGAAGTTACCGAGGAGGACTTTGATTTGTGTAGATATCTATATATCTTAACATTACAAGCCATATAGTTCAGTTACATTAAAAGTGGCCTTTTAGACTAGGTGAGACAATATGACTGTTTTTCAAGAAGTATTTCATGTTTTAACAAAATGAGATAAAGCAAACAGCAAACACTTTTAAACAATATCCTATAGCTCATTTCAAAAAAAAAAGTATAGACAAAGACAGCCGACTTCAAATCTTCCTAAAAGAAAAATGACTGAAATTCGCAAATGGTTGCGGGGGACAGCCGTAAATTCATAGTTACAGCAACAATGCAGAATTTATGAGCATTCAATTCAGTTGTGTAAATCGTTTTCCTTTTTATGTAGTTGGCTCACTCTAATATTGCAGTTTACCTACGGTTCAACCCGTTTCATTTCAGACACATTACAACTGAGAGTGACCAATTATCGTGTCAGAATAGTACACTTGGAACGATGATCGAATAGAAACAATTACTGTTCATTCAGAAGTATAGATTTACTTTTCACAGCTGGCAACAGGAAGAAAAACCTTTACAAAATCAATTATTTACTAGTAATAATAGCAAGAAAATATCAGTAGATATGAAAAATAAGAGTACAATGACGTAATTGTTTCTGTTTTTTTTTTGTGTGACCAAATCAGTTACAAAGTTCGAAGTTATCTTGCCTTCCAGGCAAACAGATGCGCTGATTAGTTGAACACGTTAGATCAATTGTCATCACTTAATGGCTCTCACTTAATCTCAATCTCTCAAACGCTGAAGAAAGTGGCATGTGTTTATTGGCATGTATCCTTTGTATCGTTTGTTTACAAGAGTATTTCACGCATGATTTTTATTGCGATAAGATAATTTATTATTGGTCTCCATTTCCATACCTTGATGTGTGGTATAATGGTTGTAAATAAACTGTGTTTTTTTTTTCTCCATTCTTACTTGTCGGTAATGTCTTCTTTGTCTGTTTTGCCTTACAGCATCGGGTTTTAAAAAGGCATCTGGCGTGCTTTGGCGTGTGCAATGTAGATGATGGTATTCATAGCTCAATTATTCCATCTATCCATCGCTTGCGTGGGCAGCCTATAGCTCTGCTTCTGTTGCGTCTGTGTAGACGAGCTCTCCTTGATGCATTTTCTTGTTGAAACCTTAACACAAGTCAGAAGCCTTTGATCGGTTCTTTTCAATTTTTCTTTTTGCTTTTTGTTTGTTTATTTGACGGATTAACATCATGGCACACAGGTGTAACCCCTAAGTATTTCGTTCGACTTCTAGCTTAAGTCTGAGTGAAGAATCTTATCACCCTTCACGAACTCCGTTGCACCGGCAAGGATCCTGAAATACTTTGGGTAGATTTTTTACTGCAAATTTTGCCTTGCTAGCGCCGTTAGGCTACTCTTTTCGATCTACAACTGCCAGGGGATTCATTTACATGCTCAAGAATACACACGGCTGTCTGATCTTACTACCCAGAGACCAGGGGAAATTTCTAGAAAGTCCACGTGAAAAAAAAAATCCCAGCTTTCCACTGGGCTGGAACTCGGAACCTCCAGCACTCGAGGCGGACACAATACCCTGAGACCACGCAGCCCACTTTCCCAATATTAAAGCAATGCTGATTTAAAAAACAAAAGTAAACTGAATAATACTCATCTGAGATTGATGTATACATGTTTGCTCTGCGAAATTGGTGACAACTAATAAAATAGAGCTTATTAAACAGAATTCATATGTAAGTGATACTGTCCTCCCTATGTAGGATGCAATTTTTAGTTATTTTGAGGCCCTCCCTCGATTTTAACTCGGGCCCGAAACATAGTTGAGACTCCAATATGGCCTATCGGCTGAACAGGGTTTCTGGGACCTCTCGACTGGTGATCATCATCCGCATAATTGCACTTTGTGTCACCGGGTGTTTCTCACGTGTGTGATGTCCATGTAGGGTGCAACCTACCTACCTACCATACTTAGGCCCGATTGTGTATATACGCTTGCTCTGTAGCATACAAACCAGACAATACTTGATGCACTTGATGCAAACATATCTGACTTCCGGTGTAAACAGCCACAATGGCGGTACGCTTTTTCGTCCGTTGAGGCGAATGGAGCAAATTAACTATTTTCGCTCACGTATAATGTGAAAGTTTCATCGGAATGGGATCTGAACCGTGCAATGGAGTACATGCACGTGAGTTCAGACTTCCCTCAGGGTGTATTCAACGTCCGATGGCGACTATTCACCAATTCAAAACAACCCGTAGACGGACAAGGAGAACGCGAACAGGCAAGCACGGTGGCGCCTGCAGGAAGCGACTGAAATGTGAGAGACTCAGCTTAAAATATGTTCGCGTTCTCTACTGGAACTGCGCTTCGTTCAGTCAACGCCGACCCATTTTTGAGAAGCTCCTCTACAGCAACGACATTGTTGTCCTACAGGAAACACACCTCGGTGACGAGATCGTTAAAATTGCGGGCTTCCAATCCTTCTACAATAGACGGCACCTCGGACAGCTCATTCTTGTTCGTGACAACATACCGGTGTCTGAGGTGGACATGTCTGAGTGGGATAATGACGACCTACAAGTACACGCAGTCAGAGTGTTGGGCCCGACCCAGTTTGTGATTGTCAATGTGTACGCCTGCAATGGAAAGGTGGATACAGCGAAATGGTCGAGTTTGCTCCAGACGGAGGAAAAGAAAGTCCTTTACTGCGGAGATTTCAACGCCAGAGGAAACCAGTGGGGCAATGTAATCACCAATAAACAGGGGGAAGACCTGGAGGATGCCCTAGTGTCTGCCGATCTAGTATGCTTGAACGACGGAAAGGTTACCCGAATGGCAACCCGACAAAGGGATTCTGACAGCGTAATTGACCTGGCCCTAGTGTCTCCCTCCATTGCATCAGGATGCAGGTGGAGCACACTGGGATACCATGACAGTGATCACTTTCCTTGCGTCGTCCTGGTGGAGAAGAGCAACAACAAAGGTCATGTAATCAATGTGCCTGCTTTTCTATATGACCGTACAGGGCAAGATGCCATTAGCAAAATCAGACGACGTAAAACAAGAGCAGATCGCAGACGGCGGGAGAGATGGGCCCAGCCACCATGGTGGAATGAAGTAGTCAACATGGCGTGGCTAGAAAAAAGGAACGCTGTCAAGGCATGGCAAAAGGCAAGGAAGATTGATCCGTCACTTTCTGAACGCCTGATCAGTCTAAAAGATGAGGTTAACAAGCGGACAGTGGCTTTCAAGTTAATTGCCAAAGAAGCCAAGACAGCGAAATGGAAACGAATTCTGCAAGAGCGTTTGCTCCGAGGAATCTCTTGTGACATTCTGGCGCCTTCAACGGAGCATGCACGGCGCTGCACGACCAAGGGGTATCCCTGATTTTCAGGGTACAGACCTGATATGGCAGAGAACTGATGCTGATAAAGGAAAAACCCTTCTTGCGCGCTACTTGGAGCAAACTGACCAAAAAAGACGAAGCTGCAAGAATAGGGGTTAAGATGAAACTGTCGATGCTGTGCGAGAACACTGAGCTAGGCACTGATTTCACAATCACTGCAGACACCTTAAGAACTTGCCTCAAGAAATCGCGCAGCACTGCTCCAGGCCCTGACGGCATCCGATACAATGACATGCTGATGATGTCGAATGCTGATTTGAAAAGCGTGGCAAAGGAATTCAATATCAGCATCCAGAGTGGCCAGATACAAGAGGAATGGCTCCATAGTTATTTGTTCCCACTACCAAAGCCTAATAAAGACCACTCAAAGATCTGCGGCTACAGAATCATCTCGATGCAGAATACTGTTGGCAAACTTTTGGAAAAAATTGTCGCACAAAGATTGACCACCTACTTGGAACTACATGATAAGTTCCCATCAACACTTGGAGGGTACAGGTTGAAGAAAGAGACATGGTTCAATGCTGCTGTTTTTCGCCTACGATGTGTACGAGGGATTTCAGATTAAAGAAGAGACATGTGCGGCAGTGTTGGACTTAGAAGATGCCTACAATAAAGTACCATACGAATATTTAATGCAATTACTGCTTAAACTAGAAGTCAATCCTATTCTGATCCGCTGGATTGCTGCGGTCCTGTTCCAGAGAAAGATTGTACTAAGATGTGGTAGCTGGTCCTCAGAACCGCAAACGATATGTCCAGGCTTGCCACAGGGATCACCGCTATCACCAGTCTTATTCAACGTTTATACGGTGATGATCACTGAGCAGCAGTTGAATGGAAAGGGAAGGACTTTGTCATTTGCTGATGACATTTTGATTTATCGACGAGGGCGTGATAGACAGGAGATCGCCAGCACAATGCACAAAGAACTCGATCGAATTGCCGCCTGGTGTGATGGTTCCAATGCCTATGTCAATCCTTCGAAGGCATCAGTGTCATGGTTCTCTTTGAACAATCACATTGTCAAGTCGGACTTACCAGAAGTAAAAATGCGTGATAATATATTGATCAGAACCAACGTTATGACGTTTCTCGGGGTGAGGTTCGATCGCAGCTTGTCATTCAGGGAACACGTTGACCATGTGATAACAAAAGCACGCAAAGGTCTATCTGCATTGAGGATTATGGCTGCTTCCAATATCGAGCAAAGACTACTAATACTTCTATTCTACGGTCTGGTCCTTTCACCCATTGAATACTCTCTGGCCATCCTCACTGTCAGTGCTACCCAGATTGAAAGACTCGAAAAGGTGCAAAATGAAGCCATGCGCATTATTTTGGGATGTACAAGAGACACATCCTGTGAAGCAATGAGGTATCTACTTGACTTTCCAACAATGAACCAAAGGATCAGGATGTGGAGGGCTCGGGCATACCTCAAAATATGTGCTGATAAGAAACACCCACTGCATCAAGCGCTTTTTAGTGAAAAGGGCGACAGACTGAAGAGGGGAAAATCGTGGCTAG